CTCCTGAGTAGCTGGGACTACAGGTGCCCACCACAATGCCCGGCTATTTTTTTTTTTGCAGTTTGGCTGGGGGCCGGGTTTGAACCTGCCACCTTCAGTATATGGGGCCGGTGCCCTACTCACTGAGCCAGAACCGCCACCCTATATTTTTCTCTTTTATTGATATGTAATAATTATATATGTACGGGTACAACGTGTGTGTTCCACGCATAGGATGTGTAATGATCATGGAAACAGTAGAGAGCTTCTGACCTAAGGCCCTGTTGGTACCTTGGGAAGTGCTCTGTGGAGGGGTAAGTAGCATGCGTGGTTCCTTCTCACCACACTGGCAGGGGAATTCGGAGCCCTCTCCTTTCAAGCTTGGCACTCATTGGCATGGAGCACAAGGGCACATGCCTGAGAAATCCATTCTCCTCTTACCTCCTCTCTACCAGGTAGAGAAGCTGAGGGTGGAGAAACTAGCTTGCTCTCTCCTCCAGCCTCAGGAAATAAATGGCACACTGGGAAATACCAAGTTTTTTATATATAAAATAACATTGAGAGTTCATTTAAACATCTGTCTCAGGAATGCAGGTCAAGAATGAAGATATGAAATGAAGATATTCTGTTAGAAGAGAGGAAATTGTGTGACTTCTCCAAAGACAGATGAGTGCTGGCGAAGGGCTGGGGTGTTCCTGCGGTAGCCAAACCGACCATTGAACCCGTTGATTGGTCTCAGATCAGCATTGTAGTGGTCATGCCCGATAACCTGCTGGAGGGAATGCCCTTGGGGGCAAAGATAGAGGGCCTGCATTCAGCTCCCTTTTACCTTACCTGCTCCATATGACTGATCCCAGCCAGCTATAGTCACTATGATCCCCGGAGCCACAGCTTGAGTGTGCAGTTTGCAGCTGCACACAAGCTGCAGACGTCTTGAGCCTCTGGACTGAAAAGCCAATGACTGGTGAGGACGAAGAGACAAAAGTCTTCCTGGAAATCAAACCCCATACTAGGAATTATTGCAGGAGGACTGTGAATGGGGCCAGAAGAAACTTCCTGGTGTGGCTGAGTTAGCCTTGCTCCCAAGAGAAGTAAGAAAATCTCCTTGGCTCGGCACCTGTAGTTTAAGCAGCTAAGGCGCCAGCCACATGCACCAGAACTAGCAGGTTCAAATCCAGCCCGGGCCTGCCAAACAGCAATGAGAACAACAACCAAAAAATAGCTGGGTGTTGTGGTGGGCACCTGTAATCCCAGCTACTTGGGAGGCTGAGGCAAGA